GGCAGGCGGACTCTCAACCACTGCACCACCAGGGAAGCCCCTTAAGGCCTTCTTGACTCATATTTTTACAATGGATCCTTGAGTCTTTTGAACTCTTTTATATTAAGTGATTCAGTCAATGCAAAAATGTTTTAAGAGTTTATGCCATACCAAATTTGGGCACTTAGGAGATTGAACTCAGTGTGTTGAAAGAAAAAAAAAAGAGGTATCACTGGTTGTTTCTTGTGGCATGAATGATGATCTTTTATTCAGTATCTCTATATATTTGCATATATATATATTCTAAGAACTTTTACTCATAAACATGGGTGAAATGTTTCATATTACTTTATACCAGAGATACCTGAGGCATGAAAAATTTGTGATACTGGGAAATGTCCACTTTTTACTTCTCTTAGCTCAAAAATCTTTCTCGTAAGGCTGTGAGATTCTCCTTGTTGACCAGCCTAGCATATTTCATGTTGTAGGCATACTTGCTGTGGGGTACCAAAACGAGAGAGGGAAATAAGGAAGAGCAGGGGAAACATTAAAAAAATATTTTATCGTAATAACTAGTCTTTAGTATCTAGACTGACAACCTTTTTGAAGTTTCAGTGTTACTGTATAGCTCCTAGTTGAGAGATCTCAGCCTTTTGCCTTCTGCATGGATGTTTACTGGCAGGCATAAATTGTTTCCAGGTGATTTTCTCTGTGTCTTGTCCTCTGAGAATTGTCTTCAGGGCTGTAAGTTTGCCTCTGTGCTGTTACATAACTAAGAAGAAATAAAGGCAAGCCTTCAACATCTTTCCAGTGTTTACATTGTCTGTCCTGAACTGCTCACCTCGATCTGCCTTATACTCAACTTCTGTACCTTTTTCCAAACTTCCTAGCTTCTGACCTCTTGACCTGTGTTTTTAATCTTTTCACAGATCTTTATTAGTAGTACTTTTTATGGATTTGCTTTTGTAAATGAGCCCTAGACACCCTGCCAATGTGCTTACTTTCATGTGTCTTATGTTTCTGTTGGTGTTGTTCAGTGGTTCTGTTCACCTCCCTCAAATGCTAAGTTATCTCCTAGTTTTATCATAGAATTATTAATACTGACTTCCTTCCTAGATTTATTCAGCTATTACACTAAGATATTATTGAATATATGCTGATTTATTTTACTTTCATTGCCGTTGGCATATTATATCTTTTGTATAACACATAACTATTTACTGTAGAGAATGTTTTATTAATTTCATATATCATAGTCTATCTTCACCCTATCCCAAATGAGTTTCCGCTTTCCTGAGAAATGAGATCACTATTCTGTATCTCAAAAAAAAAAATTGTAGTTCATCAAGTACTTCCAAGCAGTCCTAATAATTTTCTAATTTGAATATGTAGAACACTTGAGAACAGTTTACAAAAAAAAGCAGACAAACACAAAAATCCTCAAGGCATGTGTAGGATACATTTTATTGCATGAATGTAATTATCTATGAGTTCATTTTAAAATGCATATATCAATGTATACCTCTTTGAATATGTGTATTTACATATTTATATACAAATACGCAATTTGTACACATTTTAAAACATTTTAATGGTTATACTCTCTGATTATGATTATTGTTTTAAAAGTTATTTTTCTTTGAGACTAAAATCATAGGTATATAATATCGAGAACCATCATAGGCTACATGAGCATATTTTGTTGTAGGAATTGTTATGGAAGAGCATTTAGATTCCTATATTCTTCTCTCCTCTAATTCCTAAAGAAGAAGTAAATTCTAGGAATTTCAGTATAGTTCTTCCTAACATCTACATGGTTTATCATTTTTATATCTGTGATTGATTTAATAAACTGTGAAAGGTTACTTGTAACCGAGTACTTTGTAAAGTATGAAAAGAATTTTAGGTATCTCTGGACTACCATAATTGTGCAAGATCACTTTTACAGAACACATTCAATAATCTAGAGTAGCTTCAGGCTCTGACAGGGCAAGCATTGATGTTTTTTTGCTGGGAAACTCAATGGCAAAAGTTCTGACATAGTTTAAGATGATCTTACTTAACTCAGTAAAATAAATAGTTTAAAATAGTTTAAGATGATCTTACTTAGTAAAATAAATAGTTTAAAATATGTATATGAAGTCATACATGGCAGCTAATTTTCTGCCCATATGGTGTCTGCCATACTAATAGGTAGAACCCATCCTATTGTATTTGAAGTAGGATCCATTTTTATTTGGAGGCTTTGTATAAAAAGGATCTTAGTATTATTTTTGTAGTTATACTGAATTCTAGTTGGAGAAATGTTTTCTTTTATTACAGATGTTTTCTTTTGTCATAGATGAAGCTTTTTGAAGTAAGAAAACAAATTAAATTATATCAAATATACTATATAGGAAGACTATATACTTCTTAACTATACAGAAAATGTTTACAAACAGTGTATTTTTATATGACCAGATTGCAATTTAAAACTGGGTTGGGTATTTGCTTCTCTGTAGAGCTACATGGTATATGTATAAATAGTAAAAACAACAAAAAAATTAAACTTAGTTTTTCCCAAAGAAAATATAAGAAATCTTTAATAGTCACAATGATTCTTATAATAATAATCCCTCTATTGATAAATGCATATTCTTTGAACTAATCATTCTCACCAATCCATATACGGTAGTTTACCTGCTTCTTCTACTGTTAGCATTCTTAGGCTTCCTGACTGAAGTATGTGCATTGTCCTTCCTTGTATTTCTACATTATATAAATACAAGTAACATTAAAAGCAGTGAAAAATTCAGTAAATTAGCTTGTTTTTGCTTCGTAAAAAAACCCCCATAAATTAAGTAAATCGCTCACTTTGTCTTCATTTTGTTCCAGGGTGCTTTGGTCAGTGCAGGTTCAGATGATACACTTCATTTGTGGAACCTTAGACAAAAAAGGCCAGCTGTTCTTCATTCTCTTAAATTTAACAGAGAACGGTAAGAATGTAAGAGTTAAACAATTTCTTAATGTGTAAGAAAATTATTTCCTGATCAAGTTTCAGGTTAATTTTTGAAAGAATTTAAAAAATAATATTAATAGCTAGAAATAATATTTATGCTTACTTTTATAATAGTTTATTTTCATAGAAAATTCATAATTGATACAGATTCAGTCCTTTTCTAATGGGAACTCCTAGCATTCTTGTTCTCCTTGCTATAAACTAGGACTTCACCAATGATGTGTTCTTTTCCTTAGGTCAAGGTGCTGAAAAGCCAGACCTAAAATTTAAAAGTCAAGTAAATACTAAATGTATTTCTACACCTTTTGATCCTACACTTTCACCCTTTTGCTTAAATATTTTTTACCTTAAAAAAATATGAGACAGAGGTTTTAGACATCCAAAAATGTTGGTACTGAGTGTTGTGCAACATTGCACATCCAAGATTGATATTTTCAAAGATGGTGAATTGATCAGAATTCAAATTCTCCCATTTTAGAATGAAATAATAATTAGAAAAAGAAAATTTTATGAATGGATATGGAAAATGTTATTAGATTTTATTTGTAACAAATTGTCCCAAATTTTAATGTTTCTAGTGTTGGTTTCAACCAGAGCTAGAATATAACAGACATCTACTTAGCTGATAATCCACCTTGAGATGAAGTAAAATTTGTATTTTATTATCTGTATCTGTTATTTAACTATTAAATGATCTGATATTTGTTTATTATTTGGGAAACAGTCAAACTTTTTGGTGTGATTGAGAAGGGCTATCACAGGAAAAATTGATATTAATGAAAGAAAAAGAAACCTCTGAGAAGTAAATTTACACAGATTAGCAAGTACTAGTCAAAACTGAGTTAGGTAGATGATAGAGACAGGCAGCCACTGCTGAGAGCTCAAGAAAGTGCTTATTTTATTTTGTTGAATGGTAATAGTTCATAAGGAATCATCACTGTATGGGCAGAGCTTAATGAAGTAAACCTGTTTTTATAGGTTTGTTGAGAAAAAAGGATGGCAGCTATACAGACATTCTTCCTTTTTCTATTTGGAGCTTTTTCTTTTTCTTCTTATATGCGTACTGTAATATTTGAATCATTAACCTTCAGTATTCTGAGTAGTATTCATGAGTATTATGTCCACAGTATTTTGGGATTCAGCATCAATGGAAGTTTTTGTTAATCCAGTATTTTTTTGAGAGGAGGAAATTTATATTTTAGCTATTTGCTAAAACTAGATAGGACTTCTTTCTTTATATTAGATCTAATTTTGGTTATTTTATCTTAAATTTTAAAATAAGTAATGTAGCAAATATTTCAGGATATGAAAAATTGAAAGATCAGTCAAGAGTTGTTATACTGTTCCTTGTACCTTTACCACTAAAAATACTACCTACCTCAGATATTGCCATATTGATTTTATCTCTTTCTCTACTTGTAAGATTTTTTGTTTGTCAATGTTTTGAGTAGATCTGGCCCTACCCTTTTGTGTAGATAGGCAGAATGAGTTTTTTTCCCCTCACAATTGGAATGTTGAAGGAAATGTTCTGGCCTCTTTTATAGCCATTTTGGGGAGAAGAAATGATTGATGGTGATAATTTCCAGTTATAATTTTATTAACTCATTTGAGGTATATTTAACTGGTAGGAACGTAAAAGACCAAGCTGACAGATTTTGGACAAGTTTAAATCTTAGGAACTTTGCAGGCACTGCCTGTTTTTTAAAATTAATTTTTATTGGAGTATAGTTGCTTTACAATGTTTTGTTAGTTTCTGCTGTACAGGAAAGTGAATCAGTCTTACGTATACATATATCCCCTCTTTTTTAGATTTCTTTCCCATTTAGGTCACCACAGAGCATTGAGTAGAGTTCCCTGTGCTATACAGTAGGTTCTCATTAGTTACCTATTTTATACATAGTAGTGTATATATGTCAATCCCAGTCTCCTACTTCATCCCACCCACCCACCCACCTTGGTATCCATAAGTTTGTTCTCTACATCTGTGTCTCTATTTCTGCTTTGCAAATAAGTTCATCTATACCATTTTTCTAGATTCCACATGTAAGTGATATTATACGGTGTTTGTTTTTCTCCTTCTGACTTATTTCACTCTGTATGACAGTCTCTGGGTCTGTCCACATCTCTGCAAATGGCACTATTTCATTCCTTTTATGGCTAAGTAATATTCCACTGTATATATGTAGCACATCTTTATTCATTCTTCTGTTGATGGACATTTAGGTTGTTTTCATGTCCTGGCTATTGTAAATAGTGCTGTAATTAACATTGGGGTGCATGTATCTTTTTGAATTATGGTTTTCTCTGGGTATATGCCCAGGAGTGGGATTACTGAGTCAAATGTAGTTCTGTTTTTAGTTTTTTGAGGAATCTCTGTACTGTTCTCCATAGTGGTTGTGCCAATTTGCATTCCTACCAACAGTATAGGAGAGTTCCCTTTTCTCTACACACTCTCCAGCGTTTATTGTTTGTAGGTTTTTTTGATAATGGCCATTCTGACCAGTGTGAGGTGATACCTCATTGTAGTTTTGATTTGCATTTTTCTAACAATTAGTGACATTGAGCATCTTTTCATGTGCCTCTTGGCCATCTGTATGTCTTCTCTGGAGAAATGTCTATCTAGGTCTTCCGCCCATTTTTTCTTTGGGCTGTTTGTTTTTTTGATATTGAGCTGCATGGGCTGTTTGTAGACTTTGGAGATTAACCCCTTGTCAGTTGCTTCGTTTGCAAATATTTTCTCCAATTTTGAGGGTTGTCTTTTCATTTTTTTTAATGGTTTCCTTTGCTGTGCAAAAGCTTTTAAGTTTAATTAGGTCCCATTTGTTTATTTTTGTTTTTATTTTCATTACTCTAGGAGGTGGTTCAAAAAAGATCTTGCTGTGATTTATATCAAAGAGTGTTCTGCCTATGTTTTCCTCTAAGAGCTTTATAGTGTCCGGTCTTACATTTAGGTCTTTAATCCATTTGGAGTTTATTTTTGTGTATGGTGTTAGGGAGTGTTCTAATTTTATTCTTTTACATGAAATTAAAAGACAATGCTGTCCGACATTGCCTATTTTAATGCTTACAAAAATGTGATATTTATCTTTTTGTGAAAGATAAATTAATTATCTTGAACTTGAGAATAATAATTAATATCACAATTTATTGTGGAGGGGAAAATATCTTTAAATGTATCATGAATGGAAGGCTTAAGTCAATGAAGGAGAATTTAACCAAGTGTCTTTGGGAACTCTAAGCCCTCTTAAATCAGCCATTTAACTGTATACATTTCTATATACTTGTCAACTGAAAGAAAGACACACAATATGAGAGTTGTGAGTGAAGTTTTATTGAGGGTCTTACTGAGGACTAAAGCTGGGAGATAGCCTCTCAGATAGCTCTGAGGAACTGCTCCAAAACCACAGGGGAGGAGCCAGTATATATATTAATTTTTTGGCTGGGAAATACACGTAGCAAGCATAAAAGATTACTGCTAATCACAAGGAACAGACATCTCAAGTTAATGATTTAAGTGCTTTTCTATGTATGGGAAGATGCAAGAATCTGGGGTCATTCAAATTCTTCCTTAGATATGAATCTTAACTGTCTAGGGACCATATATCTAAAACACAGAATGCTCCATCCTGTTTTTCTCTGTCCTGAATTCCCCTCTGGGGGCACTGTCAGTGGGTGACTGCAGTGGGTTGCAACTTAATCCTTGTAGAACTGGAATGTTGGGCAATATTCTTTGTTTATGTATCCTTGTGCTTATGCCATATACATATTTAGTTTATATAGTTTGTAAATTTTAGTTTTTTAAAATTAGGGCAACTTCAGTCTTTGGTTTTATAGTCTTTGAAGGTAGCAACCAGGCTTAGATTGTTGAGAAGTAGGTTTAGATATTCCAGCTGCTTCTGGTGGATGATCTTTGGGTTCCTCTCATATCAGAGTTTATAAACCTAAATATGGAAGAAAAACTTTTGATTTCTGTGGTGCATGATCTGAAAAATGAATAAAATCAAGCATTTACATTTCAGGCATATTAACAGTCCTTGCTATCACTGATCATAAATCATGTAATGTTGGGGAAAGCCTAGAATTGTTTTATATGGTTTTCAAGTAAAATTCAACAGATAGGCTATAATATACAGATCATAAAGTATTTGTACTAATTATATCAGAGTTTATTTTTTCTGTCAGTGGTGTTCTGCTAATTGATATTGTCAGAATACTTTTAAGGAATATTAGCTAAACCGCCAGGAAGGAACATGTTATTAAGAACCTTATTTCTGAAATCTCTAGCAAACTTGACCCATCAGAGTTGGCTTTGGGGGACACTATTTATAACCCAAATTTAAAATATTTTATTGCTTTATAAAGATAGTCTGAATTACTTTTCTTTTAAAATTTTCTTAAGTAATTAACATATTTGCCTGGTTTGACAGTCAAAAGATAAAAGTTGTATGTACAGTGAAGGATCTTTCTTCCCCTCCTGTCCCCTGGACACTCAGTGTCTATCCGCAGAGCCAAGCAGTGTTATTAATTTCTTGTGTCTTTCTAGAGATTCATTCTGTACACATATAAGCAAATATTATATGTAACATAATTTTTTTCTTTATGTATTTATAGACAAATATGAAAGTATCATATGTTTCATAAGTTGTAGCACATTATACAAACAGTTTTGTACCTTGTTTTTTTCCCTTTACGTGTTCTCAAGATCATTCCTTATTAGTACATAAAAAGTTTCCTTATTCTTTTTTTGGTGTGTGTGCAAATGTTACCAAACTGCCAAGAAACTGTGTAAATATTAAAGTGTATGCCTTGAAATAATTTTACATCCATGTAACAAATGCACAATTCAAGAAACAGAAAATTGCTAAAACCACAGAAATCCCTCTGTGTTACCTTCTAATCACTACCTAACCCCCAAGTGTAACACTATTCTGATTTCAAACATTATAGATTAGTTTTGCCTGTTGTTTTTTGACAGTT